CAAAATTGTTTTGTTTAAACTGCAGACCCAAACGTGATTGCCTTAATATTGTGTTGTCTCGAAATTATGGTAGGTATGTTTAACCGAATTTCTGAGTTTGGCGTTTTTATTTTTACAACACCTCTTCATTCAATTATGGCTTAAAATAAATAATAAAAATACAGCCATGAAGCACCGCTAAACTGGATTATAACATGACAGATTTGATAAATTGTTGATTATTACAAAAATAATCATGCCCGACCGTTGTCTGGTAATAGAACTGTATAGTACCGCGTGTCATTTTTCGGAAAAAAAAAGGTTTTTAATATTGATCCGTTTAGCTGGTGCCATGCCACCCGTCATGGCCGAGTCCAACGCGTATGGAGTCGAGAGTTTTAAATCTTTAACCAGGCGACGGACTCGTGTAATTATATGATTGGTTTGCATGTAGAAAAGTATGTTTTATTTTTTTTCACGTCACCATTGCAACTTACACACACATACAATTTAAATACGACAAACTCTTTTAAATATTCATCTCGGAGTGCTTAGAGAAATCCAATCGTATTGTAGCATAATATATATAGTATCTACATAATACGTGTATATATATATATATATTATACACGTATTATGTAGATATTAGGTAAATACCTATTTTGTAATATATTATATTTCATCGATGTCAAAAAAAAATTACGTCGATCGTCAAAACGGTTTTTCGAATTTCCTCCTCTCGTAGATGAATGGTTTTCGATATTTTGCGCACGAAAATACAAAATATAATAATAGTATAAATATAAAGCCATCACGTAGAAAAACGTACCACAAAATAAACGCGTACCTATATTTTGAATTTTTCAATTTACAAATATCACTTGCATAAATCTCGACGGGCGCCTGCTGTTTTCTAAACGGAATTTACGTTATTCGATTTATCCCTAAAAACGTGAATTTCCGTTGCCGAGTGCGATCAGAAATCGTCTGCTTTTATTGTGACCTGATAACAGTGTTGTACTTCGCCAGGATCGCTATAATATGCTCGACTACTCCGTCACTGATGTACCTACCCAACTGGGTGCCACGGGAACTATATACACGTATAAGTGTTTCCTCGTATTCGTTTCCCATATAGTTTCTTAACCCAACTATCGATAATGAGATATATGTATAATACATAATATTATACTGATCTATATGTATACACAATATAAATTATTTTATTAGATATTAAATTTATTATTATTATAAATTATACATATTCTATGCGAGACTTGAGCTTAACAATTTYCTAATCATATTTTGTCACTGTACCTGATATACACTGACGCACTCTTTTAAATTTAAAATCGCCGTTTATCATACAACTTAAATATAGGTACCAACTATAACTTCATAGTTCATACATTTTATATTCTTRCTKAAGTTTAATTACGTACTATAAAATATTATAATCGGCCGTCGTTATAATACAAAAATAAATAAATAAACTAATATTTGCATTGTCGAAATTATTATATGGATTTGTATATAAATTCTCGCTCGTGTTATATTTTAAGTAATGTGCAAATATTGAATAAACGTGATCGTGGCTAACGATAGGGTATATTAAAATATATACCTACATACAATAGTCTTCGTTGTAGGGAATACTGATAATTTGTTTCAAAAAAATTTTTTTTTTCAAAACCAASCTGTTTCCGGTGACAGCAGAAATAATGATAAATGGGTTAAAACAACAAATGTTCTAGAACATTTGCGCACGTGTATAATAGGGCACCCATATAAATATATTTATTTTACTATTTAAATTATTTATAACGTATCGATAAGCAAAATTAAATAAATAGTTTTCTGTTTCACAGCACAAATAAATTTAGCGAAACACAAACCAATATTGGTGAGGTGTTTACGCACGGTGGCGTGTACGATTTTTATACTACGTGTTCTAGTATATTATAGAACACGCGATTTAGTTAAGGTGATATCGATGTATTTTAATGATAATTAATAAATAATAATGGAAGTAATGTTAATAATTAATAAAATAATAACCATACTAATAATGCCTAATATAAACCTGCAAACCTACGACATAATATAATTACTATCATATTATGTTTGTATCGGCTAATGTATTATCATTATAAATAGCTCTATGACACTCGCGTGCTGCAAAGATTGAGAGACAATAAATGTACAACATAATAAATTCGTCTACAGATCGCTTGTGCAGAAATTATAATTAATCGAACGTCCGCACAGCCTGTGTACAATATATAATATATGCAATGTATAATACACGCATGAGATAGTGTTGTTAATTTGTTATTGTTATTGTGGTTATTAAATCATAATAAATTATAATGCGACTACTACGTGTCTGCAGGTGAATTTCAGCTCCAAAGGGTTATCGTGTCGCCACCACCTCTGTTGTCGACGTCTGATTTTTTCGTCATATATTTTAAAGTAGCACATAACACAAAAATTAAGTTTTTTTTATTTGAAAGAATGTTCAATTATAAGGATAAAGTTATAAGTTTTACGTTTCTACTCACATTATTCAATAAGTTATGAATAATTGAACAAAGACGCATGACGTCATTTGGGCTTTACTCTTCGTAATCGCCTATCTTATACGTGTAAAAGTTCCTTGCTTCTCACAACGATTTACCCACCTAAACATTTTATTTTTGAAATTTAATTTACGTATAAATGTGTGGTTTTGTGTGTTTAAGAGGACGCAATAATCAGAATTTTTATATGACGTTTAGTTTTTTAAATATTTAAAATCTTAAAAGAGAAATTTTGGAATTTTTATTTCGTRTTTAAATCGCCATGGAGCGCCGTTTAACAAAAATATMACTTTTAAGATTTTAAATATTTAAAAAACTAAACGTCATATAGAAATTCTGATTCTTGCGTCGTCTTAAACACACAAAACCACACATTTATACGTAAATKAACTTTCAAAAATAAAATGTTTAGGTGGGTAAATCGTTGTGAGAAGTGAGGAACTTTTACACGTATAAGATAGGCGATTACGAAGAGTAGGGTCCAATGACGTCACGCGGCTATTTTACATTTTATAATATCTCTTAAAGTAATATAATTTTTTTGCATCAGATTTTCACTAAATCATTTCATATAGCCATATATAAAATAATTTAACAAAGAAAAATAATTTAAATATTTTTTTTTTGTGTGTTGTGTGCTCCTTTAAGCATTCCAATGTTGTATTATTGTGATATTAGGTTTAACATTTTCACGCTGTTTTTCAGTATCACGAATTCCCACAATAATCGACAGGAAGTCGATGAATAACAATAATAAAAATACATTGTATGGTCGTGGTCATATAAGCATAAACATTGTTTGAGTTAAGGGGGGGGGGGTTGAAGCTCAGGTTTATATCGGACACTTTATTGACACACTTATAATGTGGTGTATATATGGCAGATTTTCGGCCTAACGAGTCGTGTGGATAGGATGCCGAATTATTTTCATCCTAACACGAGTTATAATATATATAATATATAAACGTATATTATACGTCTTCCTCCAGCTAATGTATACATATTTTATCAACTCTATGCCTCACTGTAATTGTGCAATGATCGTTGTATATTATGAGATATTTCAGACCGTAAATGATTTTCAGAAGAGTGAAGCAAATAAATATAATTAAATGAATCTCTAAGGTAATTACAAAAACAAAAAATGTTTAAAAAATATGTAAAAAATATTTTCTTTTTACGGACCAGAATAGATTTTTTCTTTGAGAAATTATTATCATTACGTTTTGCAGTGAGACCAAATCGGCTTAGAGCTATATTAAGTACCTATTATATGTAWACGAGAACCAGAAAACCGACCGTAGATTATGTTGAACTGATCGAAGGAGGTCATTATACAAGTTTAGTTGAATTTTATTATTATAATAGTAATATATTTTCGGACTTAAAGCCTAAAAGCCAAAGGAATATTTAAAAAATGACTATCTGTTGTTGTGCGCATTAAATAATAATATTGTTCAACATTAAGTTGTTCTCGTTTCTATGGTGATTGAGGTACCTACCGAGTTCAGACAAATTGAATGTGAATAATACTCAGTTTTTTTTTTAGTACGTCTTATAACATGATTTATTCGGAAAGTTTTAGATTTCGATCTCTCGTATTAGTTTACACTTTACAATGATGTTTTTTTATTGTTATATATTTATCCGAGCGGGAACACACTTTTTCGGGTAAAAAAGTTTTGTGTAGCATATTATATAAATTTCGAAAACCAGGTTCGGGTCGTATTTTATCAATAGTTTCTCTATAAMCGCGGGTAAAACTAACACTACTGAYCACCGACGAAAGAAAATATATATATTGAACAAATCACTGGTTTTTTTCCGAGCTTCTCTTCTTATCAGAATCGTTTTGCTGGACGCTTTGATTTATCGCATATTATATATCGAATTCGTATAGCATATAGATGGTATCACAACACACCATTAAAATAGCTAAACCTGCAGCGTCAAGGTTGAACGAACAGCAAGACAGCAAGACGAGTGCCCAACTCCGTCATTGCATTTCTTCCAGCTATTTTTTTCTTTCGTCTCGTCACGGACGCACATCTACTCTTGGCGGCCCGCTGACTAACAGGTGTGATATTTATTTTATACGACCTCCTGTGTTAAGCGCAAAGCCGGCGTCGGCCGGTCATGGCATAGCTCTGTATTGCTGCGGCTGTTATGTATATTATAATATATAATTATATAGGTACGTTTATTTTTTGTACGAATATTTGATTTAATTGCGCAATGTGTCTAATCGATCGTTGAAACCTCATTACTAACTACCGAATAAGTAGGTAAGTTGGTTGCAGTGAGAGGGAGTGAAAATTAAACGATAAGTGAACATTGAATTCAAGATAAAATTGACCATACTTGGTTATTATTTTTTCTTTGCTATTATATTATTACCATAATATATATAAAATATATTAAATATATATATCATACTTGCGTGACAATAAACGAAACAATAAATAACAAATAAACAGGATATAATAATAATTAAAATAATGGTAAAACAAACTAGTGTTTCAGTACGTGAATATAATAACTTGGGCCCGGTCTCTGATGGTTTATCCTTGCTTCTTTTTGCTGTACCCGTACTTCTTGTGATGCTTGTGTCCTCCTTTTTTGCCATAGTCCTCGTGATGCGAATGGTGTTCGTCGTGGCCCTTTTTGCCCTTGTGCGCTTTGTGCTCTTTGTCGTAGTGGCCCTTCTCTTTGTGTCCCTTCTTGCCATATTTGTCCGCGTGGTGCGCCGACTTGTGGTGTTTACCCTTTTTGTGTTTGCCCTCCTTGTGCTCGTGCTTCTTGTGGTGCGCACCGTGTTTCTTGTGGTGCCCGCCCTTGTGGAAGTCGTCGTAGAACTTGTGTTCCTTGTGGTACTCGTCTTTGTGGAACTTGTTGTGGTACCCTTTCGTTTTGTGCCCCTTCTTGTGACCYTTCTTCTCCCCAAACTTAGCGCCCTTGTGACCCTTTTCACCCTTGTGATGGTGACCGTACTTCTCGGCTTCGTCGTGTTTCTTCTTTTTGTGGCCACCTTCCTTCTTATAGTGACCTTCATGCTCCTCCTTGCCGTGCTTGCCCTTGTCGCCCTTGTCGAAGTGATGTTTGGTCTTGTAGCCTTTGTCGGACTTGTGACCCTTCTTCGAATGTTTTTCCGCCTTTTTCTTCGACCCACCACCCTTGGACGACTTTGATGACTTCTTCTTCTTCTTCTTCTTGTGGGACGCAGCCACCGCCTGATCATGTACCGGCGCCGTTAAAACGGACGACTGATGTTGGGAAGCGGCCACCGCCTTGGGGTCGTCGCCTACCGCCGCCGACGTGGCAGTAATGGCGGTGGCGGTGACCGTCATCGGCGAGGTGATCATCGCGACGACTTCGTCCGCTGGTTCGACGGGTATCTTGCGCGAATAACCGGACCTCGCGAATATCGCGAAGCACAGCGCGAAATACACCAACAGCTTGGTGGGCCCCATGTCGACTGTATACGCGCGACCAACCAACTATGATATTATGATGTACACACGCCTCATGTATGTATGATACGAACTATYCAAAACGACAATATTATAGGACGTAAAATGTAATATTATTGGTGTCGAGTCTGCAGCAGGCGGTAGCGCTCGCGATCGACGACCGATCACTACTGACAGTTGAACCGTGTGTCCCGTTCATATTTATAACGCTTGCGACACCGCTTCGGATGCTCCGTGCCAGTTACGCTTTCACGCTTGTCGGGTATCTCGCCGTGTACCGCGGTATAGGTATACGCAGCATCGGGTAACTCGCGGTGTTGCCGCCGCCGGAGCCAATCAGCCATTTCTGCGGCGGCGTCGCAGCCCCGCTCTTCGCGGCCCAGACCACAATAATATACGAAACAATATGTGTGTAATAAGAGATTATGCCTACACGTAATTTAAACCTATTTTACAATGGACCAGTCTATGTTATCTAATGCGTGGCTATTGGACATTTTTTAAATAAAATTGTATACAATTTATTGTTTGTTTATTCGAAATAATGTTATGTGGGCAATTTGGACGATTAATACCTTCAGAGGGTTCTATTTATGGTACGTGCGCATCGATTTTCGATTTTAGGCGACATTATTATATTTATATATATATTTATATTTAGGTGCATTATTAAAATATTAATGTAGCCAGCAGGTGTAGAATGCCACCAATTYGGCAAATAATTAGGTTTATACTAAGCTGTTTTAGGCCGTGGACAAGTGAAGCTGGGATTTGAAATACACTTGCGAGTTGCGACGGATAGGGAATAAGTACCATATATTTTTGTTTTACTACAAAAAAATAAGAAAAATATTCGATTTTTGATAGCCAATACAAAATTTATGATGCATGAATCACCCTATAGTATCCTATGGGGTTGGGAAACAAAGCTATAAACACTCCCTTAGTCTCACAAAATATACGTGTACAACATTTGGTGCTTATTTTATTGTTCAGTATATTTCCCAAGTCTATAGAACTCATTCAAACATGCAACCACTTTATTATTACAGATAATACAAAACAATAGTTTGGGCTTTATTTTCGTGACTCGTGGGTATTATTATGTAACTCACATAACTGAGTGTGTAACTTACGATTTTGGAAGATTTGTCCTACTCATCAAGACGCATTGACGATGGCGGTCCTTAGCACGGCTTCGCACGGTCTAGATTTAGTTCCGCGACCAAATCGTTTCATCCACTTTATTCCATGTACCATATTATAGAAGGGTGTGAAAAAGTTCAAAGTATAAATAGCTTGAAATTAATATATATGTTTTTTTTTTTTAAATGTAATCATGAAATTCCGATGAGTTTCAAAATTCAGTGGCTGGTTTTTTTTTTTTAAATTGAATTGAAACAAAATCAATACATTGTTAGAGGAAAAGTCATTATTTTCGTTTAAATATTTGTAAAAAATTCTAATTTCTTCATAAATTGCTTTCATCTAATTGCTYTAATAACAATATCTGAGGAACCTTGTATTAAATTTGCAAGCTTTTTAAATAGGGAAAAGTATTTTATCAACATAAATTGAATAATAAAAACTAAAATTGTCAAACATTTSAAATAWAATGCCTATAATAATTGTTATAAATTACAATTAATACAATAATATTATAAGTTGCTTAGAAATAATATCGAAATTCGAACTTGATAAATTAATAGAAAAGACAATGGACATCATTATGTTTCATTGAAATAATGAAAAATATCCATTATTTGTCGTTTTATAAATTTGACACCAATTACTATGGTGGACAGTTCGGAGAAAATTATTTCATCATGTTAAAAGTTGATAAATAGTTTTCTACCTACCCAATTAAKAATACAACATTACATAATAAATGATTAGTTATTTTTGACATTTTAAATAAGTGGGCTAAAATTTTGTAACACGTGAATATATAAAAAAAAATTATTATGGTTTAATAATTAAATGTATAAAGGGTTTTTAAGGTAGGTAATATGCTGATACATAGTAATCAGCAAGAATAATTATAAGACCCAAACAAATCGGACCAGTTAATTTTGAAACTTAAGTAACGTCAGAGGCAATGGATTTACAAAATCAATTTGAAAGTAAGTGAGTATATTAGCCGCATTATCATAATACTTTTTGAAAATGAAAAATAGGTATGAGTAAATATTGTCATTTAAGGCAGATACTTTGAAATAATATTAAGTTATAAGCTATTATATTTGAGTAAAAGTGTATGTATATTTTTTTTTTTTTTAAATTTTTATATTTTATATTATTTTTATATTATTTTTATGTTTTTATATTTTTATATTAGCTATTTATAATATTGCAACAATTTCATTAGAAACAATTTTTTTTTTTTACCATTATTATCTCTTCATCGCTTTTTTAATATTGTTCATAAAATTAAAAATTAAAAATTTTACATGGATTAATAAAAAATTATATGTACTGAAACATAAGTACTATGCWGTATACTRCATAGTAGAAAATATTGTGTCACCTAACCTTAGCATAAATAATCAATTTAATTGTTAAAAAAAATGTATAAAAATTAAAAATATCTCATGACTATTAATAAATAGTGAAACTTTCGGATGAACTTTTATTTTTCGATAGAAATAGAGTAACTTCTTGTGAAACTTCTATTAAAATGTCTAATGTGAACTATAAAAAGAAAAATTTATTTWTAATTTTATCTGAAAATAATTTGTATATATACATGATTTTGATGAATTTCGTCAAAATTCTAACTTAAAATGCAYATATGTTGTAAAAAAAATTTTTAACTTCTTCAAGTATCTCTTAATAATTTTATGTTATATTCTTTATTATWATTATTATTATTCTCTTTCTCTTATAAACCTAATATACTTGGCGTCTTGTTTATGTACGGAAGGGCTCAGTCCGTATATTCTAAAACTAAATTAAATCAAAAATGTCATGAATATGCATCTTAAATATTTTTCATCTGCTATTATTATAACTTTTTTTTTGTTAAATTKATATATTTAACTTAAGRAGGATCTTGTATTCAATGTTTCAAACCTAAAATATAAAAATGAAAATTTTTTATATATTTTTGACTCAAAACAATTTGCAAATTTTCGTGATTTTTACAAATATTGTAAAATCTCTAATTTCAAGGGCACATAAAAAATTATTTTGGATATAAGCTCAACTTTTTTTATAATTGCCACTAATAACAACTTACGGTGAATCTTGTATTAAATTTTCTAGTTTTTTGTCTTAACGAACATTTTCATTTTATCAACATCAGCAAAAAAAAAACTTCTAACAATCGAAAATTTCATATGCCTATAAATAGTTCAATACTTACGATTCAAAATATTTTGAATATTTTATGGTGTATAGAAATTAATCGTAMAAAGGTAAATCGCTTCCGCGTAGTGTACCCCGGACCACGTTTTAAACGGCTAAAGATTTATCAAAACCGACTGCTGTACTGTCTTCTATGACCTCACAGCATATATGAGCAACAACACCAATATTATCTATAGTAATATTGTGTCATTATTTTATTATTAAACTTAAAAAACAATAATTGTGATTTTTAGATTAAACAAACATTTTTGGCGTTTTTTTCCATGACATTTTTTACCCGTGTCGATTTTTACCGTGACGTTTTTTTCCGTRTCGTTTTTTCCCGTTTACCAAAATCAATACATTCATCGCTATACTATCAGAACCTAAAATGTTTAATGATAGTAGAATTTTTTTTACATTTTTTTTACACTCATAAAAATAAACAACATATTTTTTAAATGTAAATATTAATAAATTTAATTTAACTCCACTTTTGTGTATATTTTATTCATACAAACTCGAATAGTAAACGTAAGTAATCTGCACACTGAAAGCAGCCGAGCCGTAGTCGTTTAATGCTACGACCAATAGGTATATTTGTCGTGTATATAGRCATATATTCTAATATCCCATATTAAAATAAGTATATAACAAAACGATCTTATTATTTAGTAAAATAGTTTAGACACATTTTTACTAGAATATTTATATCAATCTGTGTAACTTATCTTTCTATTGTTCTATCCTTGTCTATTTTAATGAATGGATTAACTATGATTAATTTAAATTTGTTTCATATTTTACGTGGAAATAATCTTCTTCATTTTTCTTTTTTTTCTATTAAAAAAATGTTACTTTGATCATATTTTAATAATTTTGAACGTTATTTGTGATCATACCTTAGACTCGATTAACATTACAGGAATTTCGTTCTTATATAAACTATAAACCCGATTACACCCCTCTTATATACCGAGTGGCTGGTGTTGTATAATTAGTATAAAACATTTTATGGTGTTTATATTTCTATAATTATTTTAATTTTCATTTAATAGTATACTGCAAGTAACGAAAAGCAATTGTATTTTATCAATTTAATGGCGGATATTAAAAGTTAAAATAATATTAATAATATTTTAAACACTGATTAATAAATATGCAAGATATTTAGGTGCAACATAATATTGGATAACCAGATTAAAATCTTCGTAAGTATCATTAGTGTCATTAACAGTGGTTATAATCATATTTTATTTGCTAAAAAATATATTTAAATTTTAATGGTTCTTTGTTTATCAACGTGTAATAACTAAATTTATATTATAATTATTACTTTACGTAATAATTATAAGCAACAACTTTCAACTCAAACAAATATTCTTTTAAAATAATACAAAATATGTATTTTCATAAATAATATAGTTATTAATTATATCATACTAATGGAACGTATTGTATTTGGCTATACCATAATCGACCTCCAATGAATAAATCAAGAGTCTGGCCTTGTAAGCTAGGCACTGTATATTTATAAAACACGAGTTTCGTAAAATCAACTATAGGGTAGGTAGTAGACATTGTTACTGTCTATTGATATTCCATAATATTATGTAAGTATAGGTATTATATTTTATGATATTTGATAATATTAATAAATAGTCGTTTCTCCA